AAGTCGACGCAATTCGATGTAAACTCGTCGTAAACTGTACGACGCATTTACGACGATTTTGTTTCCCTCGACGTTACGACGAAACAAAACCGTCGTATATTATACGACGATTTTACGACTATTTGTCTATTACGACGATGACTTTACGACGATTTCGAAATCGTCGGTAGTCCGTCGTAATGGCCCTATTACGACGAAATAACGACCATTTCGGCGTTGTAAAATGATGTTTTTCTTGTAGTGTTAGGGTTATGCATGAGTAATTACATTATTATACAAGTTAGTTTTTAAAAACATGTAAAATATTAAAAAATGATTTAAGGCAACTAAACGGATTAATTAGCTAATTCATAGATATATAAATTATTTATATGTAAATCCACATAATTAAAATCACATAGTTAAATTTACAAAATTAAAATCACATAATAACAAAAATTATAATTAATATTAGATCGAAATATACTTAATTAACTCATATTCTAATTCTACTAATATACAAATATATACTATTTAAAGATAAAACATGATAACAAAATGTCCTGCAAAAAATAGCTCGACACCAGGATGATGAAAAACTTAACACATCTCATACTTATTATTTTTTCATATCTGAAAAATTAAAAAATAAATATTTTTGATTTAAAAAATAAATAAATAATAAAAAAACTTATATCTAAACAAAAAAAATAAATACAAATTATAGTAGGAAAAAAACAAAAAATTCTCGTGCGAACGCACGGGTTTAGAATGTAAATGGATCTTCAAAACAAAAATGAAAGCCAATGGCTCGGTAGATAAATATAAGGCTAGACTGTAGTTCAAGGATTCCGACAAAAAGAAGGTCTGGATTTCTTTGACACTTATTCTCCAGTAACGAGAATAACCTCGATCAGAATGCTGATTGGGATTGTAACCTTAAGAAATTTGAAAATCCATCAGATGGATGTCAAAACTGCATTTCTAAACGGTGCTTTAGATGAGAAAATATATATGAAACAACCCGAAGAATTTGTAGTCCCGGGACAAGAACACAAAGTCTGTAGACTTGTGAAGTCATTATATGGAATTAAACAAGCTCCAAAACAATAGCATAAAAAATTTGACAATGCAATGATGTCAAATGGCTTCAGCATAAACGAATTTGATAAATGCATTTACATAAAACTACTCCTAGTGGTTATATCCTACTATGTCTATATGTAGATAACATGTTAATTATTGGCAGCAATAATGACATAATCCAACAAACTAAGAACATGCTTAGTAGATATTTTGACATAAAAGACATGAATCTAGCAGATGTCATTCTCGGGATACAAAACAAAAACTTCTGATGGAATTACCCTGTCTCAAGCTCACTATGCTGAAAATATACTTGAACGGTTTAAAAACTATTCAAATGGGGCTACAAAAACTTCAGTTGACTATCAACTTCACTTGACAAAAAACTAAAGTGAAGCAATGTTACAAGTAGAGTATGCACAGATAATTGTAGTCTTATGTACTTAACCAACTGAGGTCTGATATAGCACACACAATAAATGTACTAAGTCACTACACTAATAATTCAAGACACAAACATTGGAAAACCATAACTCGAATACTAAACTACATTAGATACACTAAAAATTATGGGCAGCACTATGAGAGAGAACCAGCAATTTTGGAAGGATACAATGACACAAACTAGATATACGACACCAAAAATTCTAAATCCACAAGTGGATATGTCTTTACCCTTGGAGGTGCAGCAGTATCATGAAAATCTTCTAAACAAACTATACTGGCTCAATCAACCATAGAGTTTAAATTTATAGCTTTAGATAAAACTGTAGAGGAAGCTGAATGGCTCCAGAAGTTCTTGAAAGATATTCTAATGTGGGAGAAACCGGTCCTAACAATACGTGTATACTATCAATCGGTCATCGTCGAAATACTGAATTATCTCTATAATGGTAAATCTAGTCATATAAGAAAACGACATAAAACCATTAGAAGCTTGATCACAATTGGAGTAATCTCAATAGATTACATAAAATCAGCTGATAACCTAGCAGATCTATTTACTAAAGGTTTAACTCGTGATCAAGTTCTATTTATCAAACATAAAAGTAATCAACAATCAGAAATACTGAAAAGTATCGACCTCGTTTCAGGTTTATCATCAATTTCCTTCATTTGGGGATCTCTTCCTTTTTCGAGAGTATATCATCAGATTCTTCAATATTCTTCTTTGGAACTATTTCATGATTATCATCTTCTTTCTCGACTATATCAGATTCCAGGTCAAAATCATCTTCGCTGGGAACTACATCTGATTTTCTAGTCATCGTCAAAATTTCTGCCGTTTTACCAGTTTTTTTCTTGAGAGTCTTCAACACCTTCTACAAATCAAAATTACCAGCGACCATAATCTTTTGATTATGCATATCCGGTGTACATTCCACAACTCCTAATTATAACATATGATTAGAAACAATTAATACAGCGGTATCTATTTTACCATCAAGTAAATAAATAAATCGTGTCAATAAAAATTCTTATTATTCTTGCCATCCAACTTATACACTTTTTGATTATTTTTGCGCAATCTTACAATGCATCCCGATCTTCAACTCGGCATCCACAGTAACACTAGAAAGAAGTTTCAAGAGCAAAAAAAAAATGTCGCATCGTAAGAAAAAGAAAACCAAAATGTTGCATCGTAAGAGATAAAAGTTACTACTATACTTGTCTGGATTGTTTCTTCGTGACATCCTTGACCAGCAACGCCAGCAGCCGATCATAGTCGAATTACAAATAAGAAACAGTGAAACACTTTAGAGATATAGAAAAGGGAGAAGATAGTTTCAGGCTAGACGGCTAGCAATTTGTAATTTAAATCGTCAACCAAATTATATAAAAAAAGATATAACTTACATAGACAATATTTGAAATTTGCAAATTGCAAATATGGAAATGTCTCAATACATGTGTTAAAACATTGAAAAGAAAGAAATTACTTAATTTCTTATCTTCGAAGATGTAATCAACTTTCTTGACCGAAAAAAAGATACGTTCAACTTTAACAATTATTAACTAGATTCTAATCCATGCATCCACACGGGAATTTTTCATTTTTATTTCTAATATATTTTTTTTAATAAAATATCATTTTATTATTTAGTTTTTTTAAATCAAATTTTTTTTTATCATGTTTTAACTTTGAATAGTATAAATTTCTATATTAGTAGAATAAGGATATGAGTTAATTAAGTATATATTGATCTAATGTTAATTATGAACTTTGTTATTATGTAAATTTAGATTTACACATAAACAATCTACATATCTATGAATTGGCTAACCATTCAGATTTTACATGATTTGAAAAACTAATCCGAATAAGACTATAATTATAAATACATAACTGTAACTTGCTCCATCATATTATTGTATAATATAAATATTTATCAATATTGAATATTTTATACTTTAGATTGATTGATTATGATAAAATAAAATAAAATATTCATTTACCACTTGTGTTATTATGAAAATTTTATTTAAAACAAAAATTTTAAATTAAATCTAATATGTATTCAAAGAATTCTTAAGTAACTAAAATTATTATCTAAATTTTCGTAGTAAATTTATTTATATTTTTTTTATTTTAAATTAAATTAAATCTAAATTTTCATAATTAAAATTAATAATTTTTTTTGAATAATTTGAAATTTAAATTAAATATAACCTATATTTAAGGAAATCTAACAATATTTAACCAATTTTCGAAATTTAATATAATATAAAATAAAATATTTTAAAAAAATTTAGATGTGTTTGGAAACATGCACTAAATGTGCTTCTGTTTTAATAGAATATATTAGGAAAATTATTTTGTTTGTTTCTATATAAGTATTACTTTCCTTTTACTATTTTTTTCCATTTTTGATAAAGAAAATCTTATTTTATTATTCAACTTCCACCATTATTTTATATTTCTATCTAAGATCTTATGCAAACGGAATCTTATGATGAAAAAATAAAATCAAAACTTTTACCTCCATTTCACGTTTTAAAAAAAATATTTTAAATATTTAATTCTATGGATTTTTTTAATGTTGTTCTTAAACAAAAAATATTGTTTCTCTTAATTAATTCATTTCTACTTGAATTTCATTCGATGGTGTATCGTCTACGTACAATATGTAGACAGATGTAAAATCCATTCAAAATATTGAATACGTGTAAAATTAAGACTATTATGTGTCTTGTCTAACAAAAGACAACTTGATAACTAATTTCAAGATGAAAGATGTTGAACCAGCTATAAGTCCTAGGAACAGAACGGATGTGCATTCTAAAGCTGTCACATGAGAGATACCAAAGACATGTTGAGAACCTTCAACTTGTTGGATTCTCAACATTTTAGGCTAAATGGCTTGAGTCGATCAGAAGAATCAAAGGTTTTAAACTTTAAGATTGAGTTGACAAGAATTATTAGGTTTTTAAATCCACGCAAACCGGCTTGGTATTGCGTGATACTTTTTTCTTGAACTTCTTTCTCTTGAACTTAAATCAAGAATAATAATATTTGTTTTATATCACAAAATTGTCAACATTGGGCATTTAGTCTAGTGGTATAATTCTCGCTTAGGGTGCGAGAGGTCCCAAGTTCAATTCTTGGAATGCCCCTTTGTTATTTTGGGTCAAATTTGTTCATTTTGCTTTGTCCAAGTCTCTCTACCTAGTTATCACCATTCTCTCAGACATATCATCGAACAACTAACGTGCATTAACGAGCTTCCCATGAAATCAACCTCAATTTCAAAAGTCAGCTTCGAAAGAAGGTAAACTCTTATGCCGCAGATTCTTAATGACCCTCTGGAAAAATATGGTTTTTTTTGTTTGTTTGATGAGATTGGACGTATAATTTTTATCTGGGCACAAACAAGTTATCTTCGAAGTTCATGAGCTAGAAAAAAAAAGAAAAAAAAGAAACCACCGAAAGAATTGACATTTTTTGTCGCTTGGCTATTTTCTCTTTTTTTATTGTCTGGGTCAACATCAAGAAAGTTTTTTTGTTTGTTTAATGTGGTCGAGTCCTCGTCATCATCTCCTTCACCTTGTAAGTAAATAGTCATCTTGTAACGTGTACTCCTTATAAACCTCAATATCGCCACAGACAACATCGAAGAAAATTGCAGATTGTTGTAAAAACTATGAACTCGATTCAACTTTCTTGTAGCTCTCTCCCGCACGACATAATCCTGAAGATCATCTCTTCTCTTCAGGTTTAAAACTTGTTCTTTTTTTGCTTGTGTTATATTTTGCTAATTCTTGATGAAATTGTGTTGTTTGATTTGGATAGGTGATTGATCTTTGCGCACTCAGTAGCTGTTCTAGGTTCTGGAGAGAGCTATGTGGTTCTGATACTTTATGGGAGCCTCTGTTTAAGGAAAGATGGCCCTTATTGGCCACATTTGATGGAGATAACACTCAGTTTCCTGAAGCCCAAACGCAGTAACAGATGAAAATTTTGCAGGTATAGTAAATCGAAACATTCCACAGATTTCTTGTTTTCTTTCAATTCCAGTTTTCCGAGTGTTCTAGATTTTGTCATTTTTGAAGTCTTGATTGTGATTTTGCCTGTTGTTACATTGAGTTCTTTGTATGATGGA